GCGACATAAGCGCACGGACATAAGCGCGACAAACTATGCGAAATCACTATCCAAAGGAATGCATGCATGCCAGCATAAAGCAATGACGTCACACAATATATCACCGCTTAAAAACATCATGAATTATGCTAGTTGTAGACAAATGACAACATTATGAAATTGTGCTATTGTGAAAGAAGTTTGTTACTAGTATTCTTTGTTTGAACTCCAGGTAAGTCTTTTTAACAACTTAACCCTTTGAAGGAATGTTTAAGGACAGAAATTGGTTAAAGAGCCCTAATCGGCCATACCTTTGTTTTTGTTTGCATGCGAGAGGTTGGCTATCATTTGTTCAAACGAACTGAGGAAATCACTGTGAAAAAACTGAAGATGATTAAACATACTTCCAGGAACACAATGCAACTTACAGTAAAGCAATGAGATTTCGCTTGACCATGCCATATCAATAATTTTGATGGCATCAAAAATGGTGGAGGCTGATCATTGATAAGGGTCCTTTAAGGTGTGTGAAACTGCTATTGAAAGTAGTATCATTTCTCTTTTTGTTTCAGCTGGATTGTGGGGTCTGGTGAACAATGCTGGAATTATTTGCTGCAGTCCCATAGAATGGACACCGCTAGATGACTTCAAACGCTCCGCTGATGTTAATCTGTGGGGAATGANAACAAAATTTTGAATTTTGAATCTTGAATTTTTTCCTTGATCCGATCCGTGATCCGGTCCGTGATCCGATCCGTGATCTGATCCGTGATCCGGTCCTGTCCGGTCCGATCCGATCCGATCCGATCCGATCCGATCCGATCCTGGTTTTGTCGACGCCAGTTGGCCATTCGTTTCAAAATTACGACAGGGTACGCGGGTTTTTCTGCCGCGTATACTTGTTTACATACGTTACGTATGGAACTCCAGGTAAGTCTTTTTAACAACTTAACCCTTTGAAGGAATGTTTAAGGACAGAAATTGGTTAAAGAGCCCTAATCGGCCATACCTTTGTTTTTGTTTACATTCGAGAGGTTGGCTATCATTTGTTCAAACGAACTGAGGAAATCACTGTGAAAAAACTGAAGATAATTAAACATACTTTCAGCAACACAATGCAACTTACAGTAAAGCAATGAGATTTCGCTTCACCATGCCATATCAATAATTTCCATGGCATCGAAAATGGTGGAGGCTGATCATTGATAAGGGTCCTTTAAGATGTGTGAAACTGCTATTGAAAGTAGTATTTCTCTTCTTGTTTCAGCTGGATTGTGGGGTCTGGTGAACAATGCTGGAATTATTTGCTGCAGTCCCATAGAATGGACACCGCTAGATGACTTCAAACGCTCCGCTGATGTTAATCTGTGGGGAATGATTGATGTCACTAAAACCTTTCTTCCTTTGTTAAAGAAGACCCCTGGACGAGTGGTTAATTTATCAAGCATGTTAGGTACTTGTACATAGGCTAAACCTCCGAGTCTCCCCTATCATGATGGGTCGCCAAATCTCCTAGAGAATACGAAGGAACGAGCATTGAAGTACATTTTTCACACTTATTATGTCCAGTTGCTGATGTTTTGGGGGAGACATTTTTTGCCTATTTCACACATTTTTGTCGTTGAATCGGCAGAGCTCTTCTTTTGACAACTTTTCTGGGAGTCGAGAAGGTGCAGTGAATTATTGGCAATCTCCCGGATTCTCTCTCTCTTTGTTTTTAGGTTCAACATCTCTCGTAATAGATAAATGGGCTTCTGAAAGATTAACCACTTGCCCTTCACTTCATGCAGTTTTGTACAAATCAATGTATTTAAAATCATACTCAGGTAATCATCTCATTTCAATAAAGGGCGCCTTACAGTCCCCTTTTATGGAGCATATTGTGTGACCAAATATGGCGTGGAGGCATTTTCGGATGCCCTAAGGCGTGAGATGCAGCCCTGGGGAATCAAAGTCAGTATGCTGGAGCCAGGAGCATTTTTAACAGACCTTATTTCTCCTGCTTCGCTTGAGCAGCAACTGAGACAGCGATGGAACGCACTGAGTGATGAGCTAAAGAATGACTATGGAGAAGAATACTTGACGAGAGGTATCAATTTGTTCTTATGATGGGGGATCTGGCACAAAAATTGTGACCAATTTCCAAAAAAAAATTGTGCCAAAGGTCCAAGCCTTTAGAGGGATCCACGGCCATGTTCCCCCAGGGAACATATTGTGGAATTTAATTCTCTAAAATCCCCTTTTCAGAGTTTCTGGGTCATTCTGAAAAATCTGACGATTTACCTAAGGCCGTGGAGACCAGTATGGATCCATGCTTCAAAGTACTGCGGTACTATATAAACAGAGTTGAAGAAGCAGTAGACAAAAGTGTCCACAGTAACGTAACAAAGTGGCCGCGTTATAGTGGCTAAAGGGCAAATGTATGAGTTGGAAGAAATCCAGATATCTGTATCAAGCAGGTGTCTGTTAAGGCCCTCTTACGTACATTAGGCCAATTTTCTTGCAATTTGTGTTGCAACCAAATAGCCAGACACAGGAAGAATTGTTTAGTGTAATAACGCCACAGAAAGTTTGCAAGAGTTTGCCAATCAATTTGTAATTCTCATGCATGTTTGTTTGACTATATATACAGCTGTTGAACTGCGGAATGAAGCATTTCGTAACTTGGATATAAACGAAGTTGTCAACACGATAGTGGAAGCCCTGATGTCAAGTTCTCCGCGTGACCGCTACTTGGTTGGCCAAGATGCCAAGAATTTTCTTGTATGGCTAACTAGGTTACCAACTTCTGTTGCTGATTATGTCATATGTGCATCTGTTAAACAACTTCAGCCACGAGGAGCCTCGGTGTCTTAAAACGAACTGGAAAACAAACACTAAAGACTCAAACATCTGCAGCACATCTCGTAACAATACTGAGATAACTACAGGGCGTGTTTAAAACACGAAGTGGCAAAGCGGTTTTTTTTTCTTTTCACTGCGTTTTGGCCATATGAAAATGTGAAATTTCAGTTCCAGAACCGCAAAGGGTTAGGACCTGGCACTTGTCAACTGTGAGGTCAAAAGGAGAACATAGGTCGATACATTTTTCAAACCAAACAAATAAAGACGAAAACATTAGTGCAATATACGTCTAGGAATAAGCCAATTAAGTGTAATTCCAATTTTGGTTTACCTTGCAAACGGCTCCCTGCAAGCGAAGCGAGCCAACGAGAGCGGAAAAACAAGAATTCGGCGAGTGGGTCGAGGAGGGTTCCGTCCTACTCACTTCGCTCACCAAATTCTTTTTTCCTTTGGTTCAAAATTGTCAACATTTGTGAAAGATATGTAGACCTACGTTCTTGTTTTGGTGTCACAGCCTGACTACAGTGAAACCTGTATTAAGCGGACACCCTTGGGACCCTCACTAGTGTCCGCTTAATACAGCTGGGTGTCCGCTCTAAGCAGGTTCTAATATATTGTGCAATAATAGTTGATTATTTAACCTTTTGTAACTCAGTGAAGCACAGTGTAAGAATAGCACAATGTTCAGTCAGGCAATGCATCAATCTGGAGTAATCTACTTAGCTTTGAAATGATATCGCTGAACAATGTTAAAGGAGTCTGGGCTGAACTTTTAGAAGTAGAAAGCCCTTGAAGTGTCCGCTGAATGTAGGTTTTGTGCGACAAAATGGCTTAATATTGGTGTCCGCGTCCGCTTAACAGGTGTCCGCTGAATGCAGGTTTATGTTACAGTAAATGTAGAAGGAAAATTTTGGGACTCAAGCTGGTGTTCACTTAATAGAGGGTGTCCGCTCGATATGGGGTCCGCTTAATACAGGTTTCACTGTAGTCCCAAGTCCTAATGGTAAACCCCCTGCGGTTTCTGACCCAACCGCAGGAGAAATTTCAAAATGTTCTCATGTAACCTCACCCAAATGAAAAAACTATACATATATTTGTCATAATTATACACTTCAACATTTTCAATTATATACAAATGTCCAGTCACACAAAAGTGGTGCATAAAAGAACAAGGGTTTAGACCTTCAAGCAGAGCCTACTTTTACTGTGTACCCCCTTCCCTCAGGAAATGTCCAAGTTATTGAACATGCACAGGGTTAGTATCCTTTTTCAGAAACAAATTTCCAGGACTTTTCCAGGACTTAACCAGGACTCAGATTGATTTTTCCAGAACTCTACAATTCACCTTAACCCTGTCTTTCCCAAGATCTCAATGTTAATTCTCCTTAATGTCTGCCATACATTTCATATTTTTTACTTGAGTTTAACAGATTTCCAGCACATTCCAGGACCAGTCACCCTGGAAAGACTGGAAAGACTGGAAAGACTGGAAAGTCCTGGAAAATGCCACAGGAAAATTCCAGGACTTTCCAGGTTTTCTAGGACCCCTACAAAGCCTGATGCAAGAGTAGCTTTGACAAACGGACTAAATAACTAAACACACCTAAATATTACAATCATGTGAGTGTCAGCTCCTCTCATAATTCAATGCCTTTCCAGATAAAGAAAAGATAAGAAAGAAATTAAAACAAAT